CCATGAACCTCCTCAGAGTCTCTGTCATGGTCCCGTTGCTGCTAAACTCCCACAATGCTCTCTGCTGCCACCATGAACTGTAGTCTGAGTGACGCCTCCTCTGGTCTCTAAACAGTGAGAGGCTCCACCTGGTGGAACAACCAGGTACTGCAGCTGATCTATGATATTCTCTTATTAGTGAATTTCTGGTTAGTTAATTAATTAATTGAATAACTGATAATCGTCCCAAGTAGTGCATCATGTCCATCACACAAGTATCAGGTTGTAGCTTCATATCTTCCATTGAACCGCAACTAAAGAATGATTGCTTTTTTTTATGGTTAACATGTAAACTAATACTTTCTTTTGTTGATTTTACGAGATTTTACCAAAATAGGGAAAATCTGTAGCATGTTGTTAACACAGTTTTTTACAGTGTAATCTCTCTAAATGTACGTAAACAAACTTCCCAACACACTCACGCCTCCACCCTACGACCTCCACACCACGCCAGCTGTGGACATTTATTCCATCGGCCTGCAGTGCTTTAGAATACAAAAGAAACCAAATCAAATATGTATTTTTTTTCCAGAGGGCCAACATGAAAAATGTACAAATAAACAGTAAGAATGACCATTAAAGCCTGAAACCCGTCAAAGCAGAAGGTGTTGGTTCACGCTGTGATAGCAGGGGATCAGCGTCGTGGTTCTTAATGGGTTTCAGTGGGAACGTTTTGGTACTTAAGGTCCTTTATGTGTCTCGCAAAAGTAGCTTCGCCAAAATTTATGCCATAAATGTATTAACACAACCGAAATGATCAAAAAAACACAAGCAACAAAAGATGAAAACACCCCTGAGCTCAAACTGAACAATCTGAAAATGGAAAATCTGCTCCTGAAACGCAGCAATTAAACTGATTCTGAGCCTCTGCTTTGATTTAAAGAGAGAAAAGGTTTCTGATCGGGGTCTTTGTTGTTAATGTGCAGGCTGTAATTACAGAGCACAGGTGAGCAGGTGGGCGGAGTTTAAAGGTGTAGCGTTAAAGGAAGCTCCTTTAATTAACATTAGGACAGGAAGCTGCAGGTTCAGGACCCCACTTCTAGGACCTCTGGTTTTTACTAATCCACCTACTGAACTGGTGGAAAGTGCACAAAAGTTCGGCAAAATACTGCTCACCTGGTTGAGCTGGCGTCCTATGTGCAGGACTACAGTCCCAATGTGGAGGTCACGAGCTCGAATCCCACTCATGACCCTTGTCCACATGTCCTCTCCCCATTCTTCTCCCCCACTTTCCTGCCTCTGTCTCACTACACTATCTAATAGAGGCACAAAGACCAAAAAAAAAATACCGCATTGTGTCCAAATACTTACAGTTTTAAAGGTGTATTCCCCCAAATTACTACTTTTGGTCCAAGTATTGGTCGTTTTAAAGGTTGTTCCACCAAAAACATTGCTTTCTGTGAACATACTTTTAGTTCTAAAGGTTTGATTAAACCAAAATACTACTTTCTGTCCAAGTATTTGTAGTTTTAACGGTTTATTACAGCCTAAATACTACTTTTTGTCCATGTTTTTACAGTTTTAAAGATTTGTGTCATCCAAATAGCACTTTATACCTACCAGGTTATGGGTTTGAATTTTCATTATGGTATAAATCTTGTTTTAAAGGTTTATTTCATCCAGTCAGTGCTGTCTAACCAACAAGTTATGGTTTAAAGATTTATTCCACTCAAATATTACTTTCTGCCCAAGTATTTCTTTTCTTCCTATTATGTCCAGTATTAAAGGTTTATTCCATCCAAATTTTGCTTATTCAACAAAAAGTTCTGGTTGTAAAAGTTTAATTCACCTAAAATACTACTTTCTGTCCAGGTATGTATCGATTGAAAGGTTTAGCTCAGCCTACTAGGACTGTTTAACCCACAAGTTATGGTTTTAAAGGTGTGCTTCACTCTGTTGAGATGTTTGAAGATTTAAAGGTTTGTTTTGTTCAAATAGTTCTTCTCGTCCGTCAGTGAACGTGGCTGCTAGCAGCTGCATGTGGAGCAAATTGTGTCATTCGCAAAATCAGGTAAAATAATGATTCAACATGCTGTGGCCTTTGGAGTCAGTCGATAAACTATCATTAACTTCTGCTCTTGTTTTTGATTTTAAACAAATAAACCTGATTGTCGCTGTGGTCGTCGTCCATCTCGACTAGAAACCTGGTTCTTCTTCTGTAGGCGGCGCTGTCACGACCAGCAAAGGTCCTGAAAGTGTTTTCCTGCAGCTGTGCTCCTGAAAAAACTACAAGCATGAACATGCTGCTGATGTTCCTGCTGTGATGTGGCGCCCCCTGCTGGTAGAAGCCTGTAACAGCAGCAGAGGCTCGATGAGGCAGAAGATGTTGGAGACGTTTCACAGAGAACCTGAAGAAGACAAGATGCTGACCGATGTTTTATCTTCTGTCCTGGTTTGAGTTCAAAGTGCAGCTCTGTGTTTAACGTCGTTAAAGTCTGACGTCCAGATGTCGTCTCTCATCGCCAGGAGCTCAGGAAACCGTCTGAAGTGGCGCTAAAAAGATCCAGATGGAGATCAAAACAGCAGCGAGACTGACAGGATTCACAGAGACGCCGAGAACTGTTGGACCAGAATCAGTCAGAGAATCACCAGATCAGCAGTTTAGAGTAACTAAGTACTTTTACTCAAGTTCTGAGGAGCTTCAGTGGAGTATTTCCATCTTCAGCTGCTTTGTTCTTCCACTTTAAAGCATTTCAGTACTTTTTACTACAACTTGGGCTGTTAACAGCTTCATCAAACTGTGACTTGTAGCTTCAAACATCTCAGCAAATGTTCCAGTGATCAGAAATCAAACACAAGAGACAAACTTGAAACAGATTCATGGATCAGAACTTAGTTTTATTTTTCATTAGTCATGTTTGCAGGCCTCAGATTTATGTGCTGTTCCTGAATATTAAAATGGATGAAATGTAGTTTCAACCCAGCAGCAGCTCCAACAGTCAGCCGCTGGAAAAAAAAAAATGTTCGGAGAAAAAAAATGAAAGAACAGAAGCGTCCCAGAAATGAGAAACACATCAGTCAAGTGCCAAAACAAGTGTCAACAAGTGTATTTAATATTAGCAAAAAGGCTGAAAAGTCTTAATAGAAAGTAAGAAATATATCAATAGAATGTCCAAAAAATAATTATGAAATATCCAGAAATATTTGTGTAATGTTAGAGAATATTCAAAAATAATGACGAGATATAAAATGTAAGAAAAACATGATGTGTGCAAGAACAATGCTATAAAAAAAAATCATAAAATGTCAGCAAAAAAATAAATAAAAACAAATGTGAAAGAAAACTGTCGCAAAAGTTTTCATAAAACCTGACAAAAAACATCAAGAATAAAATGCACAAAAAATGTTTAAAAAATAAATAAATAAAATAAATTCAATAATAAAATAAAATTAAAATAAATGTCAGAAGAAATAAGAAAATCTCCCACAAATAAAAAACCTAAAAACTTGTGTGATAAAATATGGAAAATAAAATCAAATGCCTAAAAATAAAAAATAAAAAAAGTTAATCTAATATGTGCAAAAATTGTTTAAAAAAAAAAACAATATACAAAAATACAAACAAAATGTCTTAAACATTAATTAAACGTTCCAAAATATCTGCTAAAAATATTAAAGTAATTTAGGAACCTATTCTAGTCACCTGATCAAATGCATGGCTGTGAGGTTTAAAAATAAAATTAATAAAAAATCTAATTTCCTGATCCAGACAAACCTCTTACATTGCAAACATTACTTTGATGAGTTGTGTTGACGTCATAATGTTGCATCAACTGAGTGTTGTGTGAAATTTAAACTCAAATTTCTGCATTTATTGATTTAAAAAAACATTTAAGTTGAAGGAACTTCATGAAACCGGCTTGTTTACTTAATTTTTTCTTCATCTTGAGGTCAGGATTTCGAGCTTCCTCTCATTTGACGCGTCTGGACGAGTTCACAGAGTTTAAATGACTTTTGATTCTAGAAGAAGAGTTTGTTGGTTGAACGTTAAAAGTCGTCTGAACTCTAAAAACATCCACGCAAACTGTTGGTTTTATGTTTTTATGTTAGTGTGCATGAACAAAAACCACCACAAAGCCAGAAAACCCAGATCAAAGCATCCTGATCTCTGTGCACAGACCTTGTGTTTCACAGTTAAACTTCATCTGACCGACACCGGTTCTGCTGCCTGTAAAACACCCGCCGTGTTTCGCTCGATGACAACATTCGTGCAGCTCCTGACTGTGTTTTGCAGCTTGATGAAGTTCTGTGCTGCAGCTCTGCTCTGAGGCAGAACTGAGGACGTGTCAGCGGAGCATCTGGAGATTATTACAATAAAGAAAAAAGCTGCTGCGTCGGCCAATGGGCTACGAAGCGAGCGGGTTACTTGTGGCTCCGGCTGTCTTCCCCCTCCTCCTCTCATAGTTGAAACCCGGAGAGGGGAAGGGCGGCGGAGAGGACGTGGGCGAGTTCACTTGGATCCAGAGCTGGTGGACTTATTAGAGGAGGGAAGTTGTGCAGCTTTAACTGGATTAAAAGGCAGCAGGAGGAAGGAAAAGGAGCGTTTAAGGCATCAAGAGTGACTTTTAACCCAGTGAGACGCTGCAAAGTGTGACTGGAGCCTCATGGATTGATCTCTTCTCCTCCTGTAGGCTGCAGGAAGCTCTCGTTATCACTGACAGGCTGCTTCTCTGCTGTTACAACGATGGACGGAGCTGCTGCTGCCGCTCTTCTTCTTCTTCTCTTCTCTCTGAGTGCAGCTCCAGTCCGGGGTCAGGGCTCCTCCCAGGATGCCTTCATCATCCAGTACCTGGAGAGGAGGCTGGCCCAGATGGAGGTGAGTCCAGACCTCCAACCTTCAATATGCTGAATGTTCTGAGCTAAAGGGTTAAAAATGCACCTTTCACCTCCTTCTCAACCCGCTGACATCATCTGGCTGCAACACTTTTGGCATCTTCTCGTCTGACTGGCTGCTTTTTATTAGCTCCTCCAGATGTTTGTCTGTTTGCATATTTGAGACGAGTTTCATTCCTTTTTTTCTCAGAAAGCTCTGCGTTCAGGGAACAAAGTTGAGGATATCTACACTCAGCAGCTGCAAAAATGCCCAACGACACGTTTTCTCAACATGAGATCAATCCGAATATCTATAAATATGTTATTTAAACGTGTAGAAATGCACATTGCTGTTTGTCTTTTCAGGTTTTGATGCAGCTCATGTCATTAAGCGGCGTCATGTTTATTTAAATAGCAGCTTTAAAACCGTCAGAAGTCGACGTCAGAGCGGCTTTAGTCAAGACAAAAGGTCAGAAATACAAATGTACATGACGAAAACAAGAAAAGTTCAGATAATATTAGGAGTTTAAACGTAAAACATGAAATAAAACGTGTCATTACTGAAAAAAAAACTCACTAATGGAGTTAAAAGTGAAAAGAAAATGAGATGAAAGACAGAAATATGCTCCAAAAACGAGAAATTTGATTTTATTCAGTGTTTTTTTGTTACATTTTTGCGTTTTGCCATTCATGTACAAGTTAACGAGCTCATCGCATTCTATTTTAAGTTAGTTTTACAACAATTAATGCAGACATTTGAGTTTAAATCACACACAATGTTAAGTTGATGCAACAATATGGTGTCGGCTCTGATATTTGCAACTTAAAAGGTTTATTTAAGCTTCAACTCAAGTAAAACGGGTCATTTTTTACTCTCAAAATATAAATTATGACCCGAATCTGCCGTTTAAATGCACTTAGATCCTCGTGCATTCGTTTGTATATTTAATTCTCCTCTGGCGTCTGATTTTGTGCTTTTCTTCACATAAATAAAGACGTTCATCGACATAAATTGGTGCATAAAAAAAGTCCCCAGAATGCAGGAAACGTAGTAAAACCAGCAACCAGAAATGCAAAACAACAGCTCATTAAAAAGAAACCAAGGTAGAGACTCAGACGTCGATATGTTGAAAAAACTCCTGCTAAAACCAATTATGTCATAAAGTACGTGATGTATTAAGATAAATGTTCACAGATGTCTCTATGAAATCCACCAGAATCAGAAAGACTTGACTGATCCCTGCTTCCATTCAAAGTCTTAGAAATAAAATAAACGTAAGTTAAAAAGTATCAGGATAAAATGTGAGAATGTGCTTCTAAAATAAATAACAATAGAGCAGAAATCCTTCTAAAATGTGATGATTTAAGATGGAATGAAGCTGTTTCCTCCACCAGAAGCAATTTTCTCACTTTAGCTGTACGTTTAAACACCTTTTCTGTTTCTGTGACATCAGGAGCGTCTGAGTCAGTGCGAGCAGAACATCGTGAGCGTCACCCAGAAGAGCTACGACCTTTCCTCGGAGGTCAGAGGTTCTCTGTCCACGGTCAGCGTCCTGAGGTATCCCGGCCGCCCCTCAGCCTTTTAACTCACCTTAAGCCGTGACGTCTGCTGAGGTGAACCGTGTCTCTCTGCAGGTCCGAGGTGAAGAGTCAGGTGGACAGCGTCTCTGCTCGGGTGGACCGGCTGGAGAGGGAGCTGGAGTATCTGGAGAACAAGATCCCCAGCCAGTCGGACATCGAGATGGAGGAGGCGCTCCTGGAGCAGCAGATCAAAGCTGCAGAGCTGGACCAGCTCAAGAAGAAGGCCACCATCCGGGTGCAGAACGGTGGGAAGCCCGGAGCTCCTGCACGGTTTAAGTTCATCAAAGTTCATCTCAGATGAAGTAAAAACTGGTTTTGTCCTCAGACTGCAGCGCAGCTCTGAGCCAGATCAAGTCGGTGAAGATCGTGAAGAAGGTCGGAGACTCCTTAGGCTGCTGGTTCAAAGACCCGACAGAAGGATCGGAGAAGGTCTGTTCTGTTTAAACACCGTGTAATCACCGTCACAGGAGCGGGTTAGCAGCTGGTTCTGCTCCGTTAACGTCCTCTCAGCGTGAAGCCGTTAAACTGAAAACACAAAACCAGATGTTTTCAACTCACTGGTCAGATTCTAGCATGTTTTGCTTCAATAACTTGTGTTTTTACAGACAAGTTAAAAGAAAACATTGAAAATATGAGTTAAATTAACCCACATTAATGAGATAAAACCTCAATTTATTATTACAACATCCATCCATCCATCCATCCATC